TTTGACTATGCGGTTAACACTAGATTTTGTTTTAATTAGTAATTTATATGTTTTTGTGTTCACATTTACAGTTATAAAAAAATTATAAAAGTAAAAAGTTTTTTACTCTTGATATATACAAGGTTGTGTGAGTTTTTGCGAGGCATGGCAGATGTCCGGGGGGAGGTCACTAATTCGGACAATGCCGGACAAGGGGGGGAGGGGGGGTCTGAAAATCCATCAATTGGCCGGACATCCTTTGTGAATGGCCCCTAACCTGAATGTCTGCTTATTGAAATAACCTTGTAACAAGTGTGTTACAGGTCTGTTACAAACTCAGCAAGGCTACATCACAAGTAAAAGGCTGTGGACGAACAGTGCGAATACCGACCTGACACAAGTTGCTACAGGCTTGTAACAACATTTCAACAAGTTGTAAAAACAAGCAGTTGTAAACACAGCCTGATATATACTGTTGAAATAATCTTGTAACAAGTCTGTTGCAACATTATTTTTTAATTCTATAGGATTATACGGAGTTTAAGTTTCCGTCTTCGGGCTATAAACTAGCCTATAAAATGGTTCAACTGGTATGTTGTAACTGGCTAGTTCATAGTCTGAAGACGGACAGTTAAATTGCCCGAAACGTTGCGAAAATAATAATATGTTGAAAATAAAGACCTTCTGTATAATCCTATATAATTAAAATTAATTTAGTTATACAATGAACGGAGGTGAGAGTTTTAGAAAGAAAATTAGTCTGTTGCAAGTTTGTAACAACTTGTCAGGGAATAACTTTCTTAACCCTGTTGTCAACCATGATATTTATTTATTAAACGTGAAGTGTCGAAATCACACGTTCTGCTCGTATTGCATGTATTACACGTATTAAACAGACGTATTTACGTATGTGTAACCTTTAACTATGGTGCAACGTAGGGTCAATTAAACAGACGGTATGTAATACGTACTTGCAGTCTATACATTATGTTGACGCTAAAAATGCCTAAGAATTATATTTTTGCTAAAGGGAAGTAATGAAAAGGAAAGTAATGAAAAGTGAAACTGAAAATGTTATTTTTAAATGCGCGGTGTAAAATTAAAATACAATGGCACCCGATGACTTGCACATTGAAATCTCGTGAAGCACAAATTTGCATAATGCCCAAATATTTTTCATAAACTATGCAACAAATGCTGCATTGAAATTAAAATCTTCACCACAGAATAGGTTATGACATAAACGCTTTCCAGCCCAGTAGGGTGCCATTTTGAGCATAAACAATATATCATATTTCATTCACCACAACAAAATTCATATGCAATCGGTCGTCTGTAGACTAGTTAGTTATGCGAGCTGCGAAGATCGGGAACCGCAAATCACAAGGCTAGTCACAAGGCAGGATATTTTAACAATCATTACAAAATCAATGCCTCAATCTAGACAAAACATCGATTTCAACTTTAAGATAGCCTTCGCCGGTAATGCTGGCGTCGGCAAAACGGCGTTGATGGTGCGTTTCACCAAAGGCACTTTTCAAGAAAGGCTTTGTACGGTCGGGATTTGCAATGAGACGAAAATATTATCGATTGATGATAGTTCGCGTGTACAGGTACGTAATCGTGAGATTTTGGAGCTGTGAGTTGATCCTGTGATGTTGTAATGTACATATTGTTTCCGCATTGGCACGAAATCACAACAGACATGAAGAAATCACGACAGACTTGTACTAGCCAGACAGGGATTTGGGGTCTTTCAGTATGATGAACTGGTCTCTTCGACACTGTTTATAAAATTTTAATTGACTTTGGGTATTTTTCATTACCCCTGTCCTTGAGATTTGCCACCATACTGAAATAATTTCTTTGTGTTTGACAATAGGTTTGCTTCAAACGTTTAAGACATAAAAAGCTCTTGACCTTTAAAATAAGAATTTTTTTTGAAAGAATCTACTAGCAACTCGTCCATAACGACCTTGCATTCTTTATACGTTATATATTTTAATATTCATTTGAAATTCAAATTGTGATTTGTTAATTGTTATGCAAAAACACACTGAAAGTTAGGCATTCCAAATGTTTTATTTTGCCGGCTTCTATTTCTACGATTTGCGCCATATGGCACATCTAATAAAAAACACTTTCTTGAGGGGGTCATTCTGTTAGTTCCTTGGAAACAAAGAAATTTCTCGTGACATATTTTTTCCATCTAATCCCCTTCTCGGAAGGAAAATTCTGGATATTACATAAATTGCGTAGGTTTAATAGAGCAAAGGTCATGTCATAATCGAGAAACATCAGCCAGAAAGTTTCTTAGTAAATTTCTTCCATGTAATTCTCGAATGCTAAAACCGAATTTCCGATGAAAGCGTTTTTGGGGGAAAAGTTATTCCAAGACTGCCTGTTGAAGTAGAAGTTTAATATGACGCTGAAAAGGCTAATTACGCGGTTGTATGTGGTGCACGAATTGTCCTAGCCTGCAGGCATTTATTTGCTGCCCGTGGGCAGATACAAACACCTGTTACGCAGGCTAGAATTGCCCCAGACAAACACCGGCTATTCTAGAACGATGTTAACAGATCTGTGCGTCCGCTGAAGTAATATCCACCAAGTTTTCATGTAACGTAAAAGCTATGAAAGCTATCGCTATAAATTAAAGATCATTGCATTCAGAAATGACTAACTTAGATTTTGATATATAACACTTGAATTTACATGCAATATTGACTGCGCTATTGATGTTTGAACGTTGAACTACCGCTTTTGAAAATGCCAAAAATTAGCAAAAACAACTTATAATTACCGATGTAGTTATATAAATAATAGCTAAATATTTCTATTTTGGTTGTATCTCGCTCAATATTGCATGTAAATTCAAGTGTTATATATCAAAATCTAAGTTAGTCCCTTTTGGATGCAATGATCTTTATTTCATCGCGATAGCTTTTATAGCTTTTACATCAGAAATGTTGAAATGTATAAAAACCAAAAAGCTGCTATTTGCTGAACATTTAATGTTATTACTTTCGATTCATCTCTTCTTAATCGTTCCATCTCATTACCTCACTTCTTCTTCAAAAGTCAGTCCTTATTCCAAAATATCTGGATTGTTTGAGTATCTAACTCGTTTGACCTGATGTTGGTGATGACAGTCAGATTAGAATCAAGCATCATTTCAATGGGTGGTTCCAGCTATAGACTAAAAGTTTTGATCAAGGCAAGAAGAACGAAATCCAACACCACAGCTAGAAAGAGCGTCTTAGAATGAGTAAAATTGCAAAGATTGGTTGCTGAATGTTGTAAAATGAAGAAAATATATCGCTGTGAAGTTCGCAAAGTTTGTATATATTTGTATTACGCGCGGTAAAAATAACCACTTTCGGATAAAAAATAATGGTTATTTTTCCCGCGCGTAATGCAAATATACACAAAATTTGCGAACTTCGCAGGGCTATATTTTCCTCATTTTACAACAATTCGCAACCAAACTTTGCAATTTTACTCATTTTAAGACGCTCTTTCCAGCTATGGTAATGGGATTCCGTTCTTCTTGTCGAGATCAAAATTTCGCCAATAGCCATTTCTCATTTCAATTTTTCAGCTTGAGATCTGGGACACAGCAGGTCAGGAACGCTTCAGGACAATCACCCAAAGTTATTACAGACGCGCCACCGGTTTAATCCTACTCTACGACATTACTAAATACGAATCCCTAACAGGACTAACACACTGGATAGACGACGTAAAGAGTTATGCTTTAGCAGATGTACTCATGATACTCGTGGGAGCAAAACAGGACTTAGCCGCAGAGAAACGTGAGGTGACAGAGGAACAAGCGAGGAAATTTGCTTCCAATTATCCTGAGATTGTTGATGTTGTGGAAACCTCTGCTAAGGTACGTCATATTATAGTGGCAATGACAGAAAGTTGACAGATGTTGCCAAAGGGAAAGACGATTTTATTTCTTAATAAGTTGTGTTAAGTATTTAAGTTGTGTTAGGTACGGATGCTGCGCCTTGTTAATCCCAATCTATTCTAGAAATAAATTGTTTCCGTTAACAAATCACGTATTTATACTATTCTCGGATGTTTTCGAGGATGTTTTCGTGGTACAGGGACGTCTGCGTGGGCACATTATTAGAAGAGGTTCAGATTTCGACTTCCGCTATCCTCTCTATTGAGTTCAAGAACTGCTGACGATGATATTTGATGGTAAAGACGTCGCATACTATTTTTGCCAACATTAGTACATCCTTGAGTATATGTTTGCAAAGCAATCAATGTAAATATTTTCGCTTTCGATCCGGAAACCCGAATTCTCATGAGTTGCAGATTTTGATAAATAAACAGTTAAGAGGTGGCGCCCTGTTTTTTCCACGAAAAACAAACCAATTATATTATTTTTGTTTAGAATTCTGTGAACATCGAAACAGTTTTTATCACGTTATCACGAGCGTTAAAGAACAAGTACGAAAAGAAAGCACAACCACAATCGCCAACATTTCCTAACACTATAGACAATCAACCAAAACCTTCACTGTTTGCGAGTCTGTGCAGTGTTAATAGATGTTGTAACTGATTGGGACAATAGACATTGG